CACTGATAACTAAAATACGCCAATTCCAGGAATTTGTCCTGGGCCTTGCCCCGGAATAGCGGGTACCTCCCGCAATCCTCCGCGTAGTCTCCCACGACCACGGCGAATCCTTCCTCCTTCATCCGAGACAGCAATGTAGACTTCCCGACGCAGGCCGTCCCGTCGACCGCCACTGTCCACGCGAAACCTTTGTTTACTGCCGCCATTGCTCCTACCTCAAGTTTACTACAATTTTTTTTTTTTTTTTTTTGCTTCTCCTCCTCCCGTCCTGTCCTCCTTACTCCCTGCGGGTCCTCTTCCTGGGCGGCTCCCTCGCCGCGTCCTCCCGCTGGGGAACCTCCTCCTTCACCGCTATCCTCCCCTCGTCTTCCGCGTCTTCCTCGTCCGGGCCGAGGTCGAACCGTTCTACGGGTCGCTCCACTGGCCCCGCCTCCTCACCGACCTCCACCGCAGCCCGCAGTTTCTCTTCTAGTTCCTCGGCCGAGATCTCCACGCCCTCCAGGCGGTACTCGGCCACCCAGGTGGCGACCTGGCGCCGGTCCCCAGGACGCTCCACCCTACGGACCCGAGTCACATGCCGGTCTTGCACCCGACCCGTCAACAGGTCCCGCGTCGTTACCCGATGGCCCTGCGGGCTCACCTGCTCCACTCTCTGGGGCAACCCCCAATCCTGGCGGCGGGTCGTGGGGTCCCTGACGACAACGATGTCCCCTCTTCGTAGCTCGAGGGGCCGCCGCCCGGCGTTCCTCTTGTCGGCCCCCTCTCGGGCCCGCCCCTCCATGGTCTCGATGGTCTCGTCGCGCTCCTGCGTGAGCCATCGGTACCGCTCCACGTTGCGGTCGATGAGGCGCTCGCTAATCTCCCGCTCCTCGGGGGTGGCAACCCTCGTTCCAAATAGCCACCGCCCGGGCGTCTCCTCCAGTGCCGTATGGTAGGTGGTCCTGTACAGGAACATGGTGAGGGCGAGTGTCTCGTGCTCTCCCAGTCCCGTGCGCACCCCGACCCTCCCGTAGTGCTTCCGGAGATGCCGGTGGAAGGACTCCACCGGGCTATTCCCCTCCGGGTGGTAAGGGGTGGTGAAGATGAGGCTCGCCCCGAGCAGCCGGGCCAGCTCCTGCGTTACGGCCCCCGTGAAGGCCTTGTCGTTATCACAGATGATCTGGCCTGGCACGCCGTACCGG